CCTAAGATTCCCTGAAATGAGGAGTGGGAGATCAAGAAGATGATGAGCTTTCAAAGCATGTACCTAAAATGCTTCTGTCCTCTCTCTACAGCAATATGTCAGGCCAAGCATATGAATTGGTGGAGCTAATGAGGAGCAGCTCGGTAAGTGGAACTTGGGCCACCCCTCAGTGCTTCCATGGTATCTGGGAGATGACTTTAATTGATGGGATGTTGAGTAGTGACGAGTGCTTTACTTATGGAAGAAAAGTCAGTGTCCTTGTCTCTGGTGTGCTTTCCAAGATGAATGTGCCAGGAATTAGCCTTTAGGAGATGATAATTTACCTATACAAATCCATGCAGGTAAGGTGCAAACATAAAAGGCAGAGACTAATGTGCAGGGCAGCCAGGAGTTGTAAGGATAGTAGTGAGGAAGAGGAGTGATCTGAAGGCTCTGGGGAGATCACAGGATGGCTTAGTTGAGCAGCAGCATTCAAAGTAGAGGTCGTAAAGGCTGAGTGTAAAATTGCTGGAGCAAGCAACTGGTGACCAACATGAATCACATTCACTTTTGGGTCTGGGAAATGGCAATACTGGGAAGGGGGACAACAGAAGTCTTCCCAGGAGATTAGGCCCTCTGAAACTCTGCTTCTGAACTAGAAGTGATTAATCAGAGGCCAGAAACCTCCGGGTTGGGTGAATCCCTGTCACACCACAAGCTTTTAGGGAATTAGTAGGGGATTTAGCTTTGTGGTCCAGCCTGCTGTGCCAGCTCCACTGAGGGCTACAAAGGACACCAAAAGGGCAACTCACTTTTGATTCGGTGGCTGCTGCTGCAGTTTGGGATGAGGGGAGGAAATCTGTGAGAAAACCAAGGCTTCCCTGCTCCAAGTGTTGGCTGAATTTGAGCGGATGACTGTCTGGATGGGAGCTGTTGGTTCAGAGGGAACACCCTGTAAGGGAATAGGAGTGCCTGGTGCTCCTTGGCTCAGGCTGAATGGGAAGGGAAGGTACTGAATAAGCAGAATTTGTCAAAACATGTGTGTCTCTGTGCCAGCACTCTTGATGGATGCTGCATGCCAGTCCCACTGTCAGTTACTCTGCATTACTGATTGTTTGGCAGAGTGCGAGAGGCTGGCATGGCTCTTCAATAAAATAGTACGTGGCTCTAGAGCTTTGTTTTATTCACTGTTTTTATGCATCTCTTAAAAAGGGGATTGGGGAAGTCCCTGCCACTCTTTGCCTCTTCTTGAAAGGCTTTCTGAGCAAAGTGCTGGTTAAGGGGGAAAATTCAGACCTGTGGGTGATTCCCAGGCCCTTCCTCTATTTGTGGGATCCTTTCACAGATGTTTGTTATGTAAATGCACCACACTAAAAATAGTTGCCTTTGATTCCTTTCTTTGTACTGAACGTTACAAAATGTTTTGATGAGATCCAGCTCTCAGCAGCGCCTATTGTTAGCTTGCGGTGACGTGGATGCTGCAGCTGCTCTTAGATGAGCTCAGTGAAGTCGTCAGCCTCCTGGACTCTTCTATTTTAATCCAGCTGTCTGTTCCCTGGGGCACCCCTCGCCCCTCCTGGCCATGGGGTAATACTTGCCTAGCTGGCAGAGATCCCCAGCAGCTCCAGTTCCACAGCTCCGTGAGTCACTCCAGCATTCACTCCCACATCTCTTCGTCCACACGCTGCCTGCGTTCAGCCATGGCTGGCAAATCTCTCCTGTCCATCCCTGTCCTGAAGCTAACACTCATTTAGGCACGCTTGCTGCCACAGACAGGTTTCTATGCTCAGCTACCCTGACAGATCTTGCCTGCTGAAGGGGATTTCCTTACAAAAGCCAAGGTGAATTGCAGCTAGACTAGCAAAAACAGTTCATATTTTCCCCCTGGACAAATGCTTTTCTTGCGCAGTCTTAACTCAGCATGCCTCCTTTCTCTGTTCTGCCATGCCGTCTGTACCCCACTTGGCCCCATTTGTGAATGTTACCTCTGCATGCCGAAGCAATGGATGCTGCAATCTGTTTCTTTTTATGTGCCACTAGGAAATTAATTTCAAGGAAGATTGGAAGCTCATCACTATCCTCGTTGGAGGCAACGACCTATGCCAGTACTGCTTGGACAAGGTTTGTATCTCTGAATTAGGCATGCTCATCCAGGCACTTGGCAAGTGACCAGCCCTGCAAATTTAACCTTTCTCAGTGAGCCAAAAATCCTCTTTGTTTAAAAATCACTTAGAAGTCCTGTTCCTTTCATCTCTACTGTATCAAAAACAAATGCACAGTTTTTAATATTGGGGCACTGTAGCTCTGGAATAATCCATCATTTAAGAACCAGCAACCTGCCCCATATTGAACAAGGATAAACTGAAGTGCTCTTCCAGCTTAACTGGACAAAGGAATCAAGACAGCATGGTGTCTTAGGCATGTTGTTATGGGGACACAAGTGAAGTTTTATTCAGGAAAGCATCTCCATGCAATAATCACTGAGGAAGCCTGATTCTTGCTTCAGAGTGACACCAAAAGAAGTAACATCAGTTTATAGTGAAAAAGATGTCTTTTATCTAGCTATCAGTGGTCATCCCCTCTGAAAAGGTTCTTGTGGCACAGACTGGGAGTCTGGACCCCAGATCATTGAAATGACTGGGGACTGTTCTCTCTGTTTTGCTGCTGCTTGGAGCTTTTGCCCCCCACAGCTATACCTCTATACCTACAGCCACAAAGTCGTTTTGCCTATGGGTTTTGTGGGGCCTGACTGCTTCCATATAAATTTCCCCGGATTGGCAGTTTAAAAAAAGAAGTATCGCCCTGTTCATAAGGCAAACTAGTCTGGTCTGGGTCCCATAAAAGACAATGTGAAATCCAAGTATTTGATTTATGTAGTCATTCATCAGGCAAAGACTCTGCCAAGAACTATTATGTACCTCAGGATTTTCTACAGAGATTAAGGGAATATATTAACAACATAGAAACACAAGCACTATATAACCTGTTGCGCATATGGCAATAAACCTCTTGATCTGAAAACATATATGCCAACAAAGGCAAAAAGGAACATTGAGCTGGTATATCTTCTCATGGACCACCTTGCAACTAACAAGTCTGTGGACTCCTTTGCTCGAGTGAACTTCTTGGTTCCTGAAAGAAGACTGATCCTTTTTTTTTTTTTTTTTTTTTTAAATTACACAGGAAACTTATTCAGTGCGAAAGTATGTAAAGCATCTTCAGGACACTCTGGATATTTTCTATAAGGAGGTAAGCTTTTAAGATACCGTAAAAAGATATGTTTCTGGCAAGCACAGAGATGTTTTTCTCACCTCTGATAGACTGTCAGTGATTCTGTTTCATACGAGGTCATCTTCCAAATAACTGGAGTCAGACTGCTCCTCAGCGCTGCATTTCAACAACTGTATTAGATAATGTCCTGAGAAAGTGGGCTGTAGTTTCAGGAAAACTGTGCGCTTCACAGCACTTTTGCTGTGGACCAAACACAGAATGACCCTACTGCCAGTTTTGATGGCTAAACCAACTGTACAAAGTTTCATTTACCCTAGAGAAAACAGAAATGCCCCAAGGAGTGAAGCAGCATTTCAGCTAGCTTGTACTAGCTGCTGGGAATTTTTTGGCTGACATCCACTGTATGTCTCCCTCCCCCTCCCTTTAAACATAATCCTTGCACGTGCCATTGGTTGCCGTCGGTGCAGTTTGCACTGACTCCCTGACCTACGGATGGTACTTCTTTCTCACTTTGTAGTGGTATCATGTTCTGTGATTTGGTATGTCTGGTTATTATAATCCCTGCAGCTCCCAAGAGTCTTTGTCAACATGGTGGAGATACTAGAGATTTCTGGACTGCGTCAGATCACAGCAAGCTCTTCGGGGTGCGCTTTGATAGCAAAGTAAGTGAGCAAAACAGGTCTTTGCCTTTAAAGTGCTACTTTTTTGGATCAATCTAAATTGCTTCTACGGGAGGGCATCCACACTGAGGTTTCCAAGTTCACTTTCATTGCTGCCTTTACTTGATGCACTAGTTCCCATCAACTTTCTACTAGTTCTTCCAATACTTCAGCTAAAAGGCATGCACCTGTAGATAGCAGTCATCCCTTTTCTTCTCAGCTCTAAGTCGGCATGTCACAGCGCAAGTCACCATATAATTGCTGTACTACTGAACTTCAAAGCCTTTTTTGCCCAGCCATTCCCCACTCAGCAGCACAGGCTGACATCCCTGACACCTCTCCTTGTATTCAGTGCTGCATTACCTATGGTGCAGGCTGGGCTGCATACAGCTGAGTGCACAGCCAGGAACTGCTTTTCACACCTAATGGAGGAGACCAAAGTCCAAACTCAAAGAAGATTGAGGGATCTGTTTTAGAAAGCAGCAGTGCCTTTACAGGAGTCAGTGTGGACATGAAAAGGCTCTTTAGTGGAGAAAGGTATAACAAAGACCAGTGGTTAGAAGCTGATGCCTAATGACTTCAAATTAAGTTGCACACAGATTTTTAATAATAGAAGCAATTAACTACTGGAACACACTAGAAGGGAAAATAGTGAATTGACTGGATTGCTTGATGTCTTCATATTCATTCCAGGCACATTCTTAGAGGATGCATTTCAGTGAAGCACAAGTTATTACCTCTTGATATGGGGGTAACAATGAAACACAGTGGTCTGAGGGGTCAGACTACATGAACAATTTTTATTTTCTATCTTTAAACCCCCATATTTCTGAAACTCTGCTGTAAGCCTATATGTAGGGGTTTTTTTATTCTAACATGTCATTTCCTGCTAATGTGTGGCATACTGAACACTTGTGTCTGACTCAGAGTTGCGGATCCTGCAGGTCTTACTGGCTGACAGGTGTTCACTTTGAAAACTAAGTCAATAGGGATTTTTTTTTTCCTGAGGTATCTGTCCACATCTAAGCTAATGAGGTGGCTCTCCTCCTGCACATGAACTTTGAGTACCTACCCTGAGCTTCTTGAAACAGACACATATTGCTGAAGAATTGCAATAGGCTATTCCAAGTTGGCTTTTAATTCTAGTATTTCTTTTGTTGAAGGAATGTTTGTCCATGTTTCTTAAACCCTGAAGAAAACTCTTCCGAACTACAAGAAATTAAGAGAGTTAACAGAGATTTTCAGGTAATACCTTGATTCTGTAACTGGTCATCTTGTGTCTCTTTTTATATCTCTTTACAGAAAGCTTCCCTTTCTCTCATGCATATCCTCAGCAGGACGGGGCGGGGGGGGTGACTGGGCAAAAGCTTGGCTACAGTCTAACTAAACCCCTACCCAGCTAACCAGTTAGCAGCAGTGCAAGTCTTTCCACACTGCCTTATAATTTGACCTTGATTCTGAGCTGGGAGCAGACTGAGACTGGTTCTGTTTCCAGTTGCTGTTTCAACAGCTGAAAAAATGTTACTGGTGATGATTGTTTTCTTGATATGTGTTTGTCCATTATGAATCCAATGAATAGCTCACGTGAATTAACATGTCACTGCAAGGGTGACAAATTACCTTCCATCAGCTGTTTTGTGGTAACTCTTAGCAGAGAAAATGAACTAAACCAACCTGATATTCCTTTCTATTGTTACGGGCTGAGAGCGTGCACACAGATAGCTTACCATGGGTCCGCTTGCTATCTGAGAGTAACTTCTCATAGCCTCAGGCATAAGATTCACTCAAATTTAACAAAGGCTATAAATAGCTATTGGAGCAGAAGGTTTTTCCCATCACTATTCCTGTGAATACAAGAATCACTGTATCAGTTCACATTATGTTCTCCAGTCCTCCATTCTGGCTCTGGCAGTAGGTGTTGTCTGATTAATCAGACAATGCTCAAAAAGTCCACCTTGGAGAATACTTGTATAAACCTATCCAGGGGGTGTTTTCCTTAGCTAAGGAAGTGCGGTTAGGAATGGTTTGAGATATGACCAGGAGCATTAGAATTTATACCCATAAACTGGCATGTAACAATGAGATGTTTTTATTATCTGTGTTGAATGTCTAGTGCCATAGTTTTCAAAAGTGGCGGGTGATTTTTTCAATGCTTAAGTGTTCTTTTACTTCAAGCACACCTTTCTAAAAAATCAAGTGCACTTCAGTCTCAAGTTGGCCTTCTGGACTTTTTTGTCACTTCTAAAAATTTTGCCCTTATGCCTCTTTTTTTTAATTCTCTGTAAATTTTAATCTCATTGTGATTGTGCAGCACTGATTTCTATAAGGGAAGGTACAAACTAGGTTTTTTTAATTAAGCAAATTATCCTAGTTTCTGAGCATTTTCCTCATGAAAATCTCTTCATGAATCAAATGATTCTCTTAGTTGTCCTCTGGACTGCTTTAAACTATTCAGCTGGATTTATACTAATAATTTATGGCTTCCTACATTGAAAGAAGTGTAATACACATGTTTTTGATAGCTGACAAATGTTAGATGAACCTTGTAAGTAACATTTCTGTTTCCAACCATGCACCTCCATACAGGCTGAAGCCTTACAGCTGATCAACAGTGGTCGGTATGAGGAGCGTGAGGACTTTGCAGTTGTCATGCAGCCATTTTTCCGAAACAGCTTGTTGCCCTTGGATAGTGTGAGTCCTGGTTTTCTTTCCCATTATGCAAGGACCAGTATCTTGATTTCCCTAAGCCAGTAAGATCCATGCCACAAGGACTGTGTTCTCTTCGCACAGTCTAGCGGCACAGGGTGGAAAAATTAAAATGGCTTTAGGAAACATTTGTAGTGTGCACACATTAAACCTAAGTACCCTCTGGCTTCGTCTAAACTGCATGTTGTTTCCCCTGTTGGGGGCTTGGTTGGCATTCACCACAATTTTCTTCTGATCTAGGTTATGAAATACATTCAGGTTTCCTTCACACGGAGACCAGCACTTGCATTCCCCACTCATCCCAGCCTGGAAACAGAAAGCGACCTTTGAAGCCAAACTCTGATTCTCCTTCTCTTCTCCAGCCCTAGCATTATGTATGCTGTGTAGTTAGGGATACAAATATTTAGCATGAATCCTGGTCAAAACCACTCAGTTTTGCATAATACTGATCGTTTTGTCATATCATCCCCATTTCGTTCTGGCAGCCTTCAAGTCCAAAGAAAGGTAACCATGCAGGTAGTGATGAGGCAGATTCTTCCTCAGACAGACATTTGCCACAGCTGGACAAACCCACAGTTTTTAATGTTTCCTGAAATTCAACACAAGTTTTAACACCTGAAAGTTTATAAGGCTGAGTTATGGAAGTTTAACAAGCAAGAATAAGCAGTTTTCTATCAGTTCTGTACAAGGTGGAGTGGGGGTCAATGGTAGTATCCGTGTAAGAGCTGTGACTGTTGGCTTAATGATAAGTTTAGGTTTGTTATGAAAATTGTTGTGTGAAGTTGAGCAGGCTGTACTACACAGAAGGTCTCAAGATGCAGTAATCGGCCCACAGTTAGGAGTAACTAAGTTTATCTGCAGTGTCAAAATATGAGCATATGCCTTTAGGAAGATACCAAAATTGTGAAGTGGCTATGCCAAGTACCATGCACTATTAGGTATGATATGTCAGATCTCAAAGGTTGAAATGTGCTAAGAAATACATTTTTGCTTTTATCACAGAATGGCAAGCCAGATCTGAGTTTCTTTGCTGCAGACTGCTTTCATTTCAATGTAAGAGGCTACGCTGAGATGGCCATGGCTCTCTGGAATAATATGGTAAGCAGTTAAGACCTAGATCCCTATGTGTTTGTGGCAGCAGTCCCTACAAAAGATCATGAGGAAGGTGTCTGAAGCAAAACAGTAAGCAGGAAATAGAACTGATATCCTAACAACACGGGGGGTGCTCAACTCTGAGACCCTTCTCAGTCTGCATTGCTTAGGAACACAATCCAAAGCGATCACCTTGCATGAAACAGTGTAAGTCTTCGCTCATTCAAAATGAGAACTCCTGAGAGTCTTAATGTAATGAAAAATTCCCTTCTCATTTGGTAAATAACTTGCATTAAAGCAAAAAAATCAACCCAGTTAAACATTCAGTCTTGTAGTTTCCTGAAAATGTCTGTTGAATGAGCTTGCCCTTCTTCAGTAAATTGTTAGATTTATTAGGAAAACATACATGTGATTGAATTTTTGCTGCCATTAATAGTGTGGACATGTTGTAACACCCACTCTGGAATCTGAAACAATTCTAGTAGAGTCACTGAAACTAATGGGCTGAAATCACACCTATGATGCCTTTGTTTGCAGTCACATTGATTTTGTCATTTTGTGGGAAACGATAGCTTTTGAATAGTGCTGGAAGAGTGTGTAAGAGGAACATGCTGGACTTGATAACTCCAAGGTCACAGTTACTTTCAGAACGACGATGTTTCCCATGGTGGAAGGAAGACTGGCATTTTCATGCCACAGTGACATGTCTTCCTCTTGTCTCATAAACACCAGTACACAAACATACTGTGGTAGCAGCAATCCTGTATCCTAGCTTGTACAAGAAACAAGCATAAATGGAGCAGAATTTCTTTTCAGTTTAAGTAAAAGTTTGAGCAAGATAAGAAACTTACAGGATGCTGCAGAATGAACTTGAGCAGAAGGACTGGGCAATACAGGACAGAAATCTGTGCAATTGCCCAGCAGAGCATATGAGCTGTAGGTCCAGCATTATAGAAAGCAGTAGACGTACAGAGCATGCACGTGCTCTGAGTAATTGATTTGAACATGCACAGCAAATCTGCCTGATTTCTGTTAGGCTTCCCTGTCTGGGACTCCAGATGACAGCAGTCTGGTAGGCTTCATTGTGCGGTAGCTCAAACAGGGCTAATGGTGGCCCAGAAACTCCAGGCAAATGTACAAAACGTTCAAACTGAGCATGGCTGCAGGTTTCAAGAAGAAAAAGAGATGGTACCTGGACATATGGTAGCCTTAAATTTGGTTTCTGTTGCCACGTGGTGTTTCTATTTGCCATTACTCATTCCTGAATCACCATCAGTCCTTCTTCTATGCCACCAGAGTTTTATTCTGTCTGGACTGTCACTCATTTCCTGCGCATGTAAGGATATTGACACAAAGCTTTCTACTGGGGTGGTGGGGATCAGGTTCTTACTGATGCAAAGTGCAACTATTCCCTCCTGCAGAGATCTGACTGTGCCAACTGAAGATTTTACTCTTTACTATTTAAATCTAGTTCTTGTAACATATCCCTGCTTTTCACTCACAGCCCATGTACGGCGAGGCTGTGCAAGCTTACTGTAAGGCTGTATTGTTTCCCCGTTCCCTGAAAAGCTCAGCAGGCTGTAGGCTTACGGCCAAATGACATGGATTCTTGTCAGTACACATAAAGGGCCAGACTGTGCCTGGCTGCTACGTGGGTCTGCAGGGATGGGGATGGTTTAAGGAGCCTTTTCCTCACCATGATGTTCTTTGCTCTTTTTGCTTCATGCAAAGCAAAGCATGCTCGTGCTCTATGAAGTCAGAGGACTCTATAGCCTTAGGGCCCCCCACTGGTCCCAAATCCACCTCATTAGTCCCCTGGCCCAGGAGAAGAGCACATAAGACAGTGTGTTTAGCTTGTGTTCTGCTTCCATGTGTGCCACATGCAAACATCCTCTAGAGAGGAGCTGTACATTTCTTCCAGAAGTTGCCCTGTTCACTCATGGACGTGGGGATGCTGTCATCTTCAAAGCTCAGAAGCTAATGCTCCTGAGGAATGGATGGCATAGAGATGAACAAGCATGGCTGGCTGCAGAATTTTGCACCTTATCATCCTTTTTCTGGGCTCTGCGCCAGACTCCTTCCCAAGTGCCCTGGCACTGGGACTATTATAATTATCTACAAATAACCAGTCGTACTGCAGACAGAACGCTACAGGATATGAGCCGCACATCTTACAAATAACTACATCAGAATTTGAGCTGTTCCCTATAAGATAAAACAAACTACTAAATTCAGTTTTCACGACATTAGCTGAGGGGCAAGCCAAGTTATTAGGACTCATATAAGAGTCCAGCAGGACCCCACGACAATCAGCAAAACTTTTTATTCTGTTTTGCTTCTTATCTTCTCTCCACTTGTTAGCTTTCCTCCCTTCCCTAGTCATGTTTTGCCATGGTTCATCTCTCTCTTTTCATTTTTCAGTCTCTACTTCCTTTTTTTTTTTTTAACTGAACTAGAGAGAGAAAGTATTCCCAGTATTTCCATATGGGAATTTTTATGAATAGAATTTGTTTTCTCTGTGTTGTGCTGCGCTTGTTGTGGTTATGTTTCTCTCCAGCATACAGTTGAAACTTTAATCACTCCAGGACAGTAAATGCACATATAGACAATAGCAGAAGCAACAGCAGTCCTCGGTGCTGTATTCCCAGAAGTGCTGGATGACAACTCAGCGGTTCTCTACGGGCCAATCCTGAAGTCATTGCTTCAGGCATGTCCATACACAGTTGTAAACACTTCAGTTAACATGACTGAGCAAGCCTCTACTCGTTAGCTTAACTATGGTAACCGACGGTATGTGCACTCCTAGCCAACCACAGATGCTATGCCATTAACTTGGACATATTTTGTTTTGGGTTTGAAATGGACTCGGGGTGAGTCCATTGCAACTTAGCTGACAACTGATAATATAAAAGGCTCTATTTAACTCACTTCTTGCAATCTTGCCAACCTAGCCTCAGCTAAAACTCAGGGAATTTCTTGTTTGAGTAAAGACTGCAAAGGTTGGCACCGTCTCATCCTGTCTCTATAACTACATCACTTCTGAAGTCACTTTCATCACTGTGACACCTAAGCATCTTTCTTTCAGTAACGTGCTAAGTAACATGACTAACATCAGTCACGTGTTGGGTTTTTTTTGTTCTTTGTGGTTTATAGTGTCATTTGATATGTGTAAGTGGGAGAAGTGGGTGTATAGTGAACTACTTTGTTTTAGTAGAATATTTAAAGTATGTGGTATTCAGAGTTATTTTCTCTTCCACTCAGTGCAAAAGGAGGAAAAGCTTCTCCTGTTCCTTGCTTCCCAAAGGAGTTTTTCTGCAGGCAGTACATCAGATTCTCAATGTCTTCAGTTCATGAGTGTTAAAATGTTTGGAAACTTTCCTGTGACGCACCTTCTACTGCATTTCTTCATTGCTGCAAGCACCAAAAGATTGGATAAAAAGTTGTAACCACCCAAATCAGGAGAGTCTGAGAAGGAAAAAAATCATCATTATGTTTACTATTGCTTTTCTCTCTTCAGTTGGAGCCAGTTGGTGAAAAGCAGACTTACAACAACTTTACCCATGACAGATCAAAACTCAAGTGTCCAAACCCAGTAAGTAAAGGCCAAGATGTCCATACTCTCCATTAACAACTTTCATTTTTCTCCTTTCTTCTTATTGGTAAAGCTCTTTGAAAGAGTATCTTTGTGAAGGCTTTCAATAGCTAAAATACACTTCTAATTTATTATACCCAGGAAAATCTTAAAATTTAACGCAAAAAAAATCGTCCTCATTGCAGTGGAAAGCCTCTCATTTGTCTGCAGCAAACAAATTTGGAAAGGATGTCATCACTTCTGATTCTGAGATGGCTTCTTTTTTTGTTCTAGGAACTTTGAAAGGGCAATGGGGTAGGAAAGAGTTTGGGCTAAGACAGACAGAAGGCAGAAACAGCTGATAGTCTGTCTAAAGACTGACAGTTCCTCTCTGGGAAAGGGGTGATGGCATATGGTCTGAAATGCTGCCTGTTGAGTGGTCTGTGGTCAGTAAAACCTTTACTCTCCCTCTGTAGGAGAAACCTTTTCTTTCCACACTGAGAAATAGTGGATTCAGAAATTCAGATCTCAAGTCGGAGAAAACCAAACTATCAGTCCCCTACTGGGCTGTCATTGTGGCTGCAGTTGCTGGAGTCCTGGCGGGTTCTTTACTTATCTGGGTTGTGTCGGGAAGAAGAGCCAAGAGGCATCAACATGAGATCGACACAGAAAAGAACATTAAAACGACATCTCTGTAAAGCAAGTGGAACAAACGCCCGTCTCTGCTGAGGCTGCTCTCTGCTGTGACACAGAGCGCAGCAGAATAAAAAAACCTGTTCGATATGAATAAAGCTTTTTGGTTTAGCCAGGGATTTTGGGGCCCAATAATCTTGATCAGAAACATGCTGTAGAGTCAGCTTCTGCAGATCAGTCAATTGGAGGATGAAGTTCAAAGTGTTAAAGCTTTTTCATTCTGGGATGCAATTCTCTGTTTCATCAATATTACTCAGGATGTCAATTGCTTGCATGAAGTGTGAAAACTTGTTCAAGCATCTTGGCACCTTAATTGTGCATCTGTCCTTTTTTTCTTATAAAAACTGTATATACAATGTTAGCTACAAGTCCATGATTGTGACCTGGTATTCCCCAATAGCAAGGTAAGTGAGGTAAAAAAGAAAAGCTGCAATTTCACATGTTAGATTCCAGCAAGACTATTGAGTTGAAGGTGCTAAGGTCATTCTACACAGGCAAGTACAATGCCATGGAAACACCTTTAAGCCAACTTCTGAGCATTCTGGCCTATCCATGTGGCATCCCTGGTGCAGTGCTGGGCAGCACAGCTAGAATAACTGTGCCCTCCCTACTGCCTTGGACTCCGGACTCCATCTGGGACTGGATGTGGAGCTGGGCCATGTGCATCACTTCTCATAGAATCATAGAATAATTAAGGTTGGAAAAGACCTCTAAGATCATAGCCTGGTGCAATCCCGTACTCTCCTGCCCACCACTGTACGGCAGCTGGTTCCAAAATGACTCTTCCTGTGAAGAAGGAATTTCTTCATTAGCATGAATAGGGGATCTTAAAAAAAATGAGGTACATGATTGGCAAACTAGCCTGGCTTAACCCTTCTTATAGAGCCTATGGTGTGTTCAGGTCTCCCAGGCTGGAGTCTCCATGGCTGTTCCCTAAGGAAGAATTTGCAAAGTTGGTTTTTTTTTTTTAAATTCTGATCAGGAGTTCAGAAGATATCTTTCCTGGAAATTAGACATTCCTTGTTTTATACTTGCAGGTCAATTCATATGACTTACTAGTACAGAAGATACTTCGCAGGTTCCCTGTGATCTTGTTTTCCAATATCTTTCTTATTTCCTATGTCAAATACTGTACATTTTGATTTTATTGAAACCAAAGTGTGGTTTGCACTGGTGTAATTTTTTGTGAGGTGTACTACATTTCCACTCCAGAAACATGAATGAGCAGAAAATTAAAATGTTTCAGAGAAGAAAGCATTCTGTGATTCTTAAATCTATTCATTGTGCACACAGAAGGTGTTCAGGCCTCTCCTTTTTCCACTTCATTCCTGTCACTGTCCTCGCTAAGATAAAAAGAGATGGGCAAAATACAAATTGTATAGTCAGGTTTCATGGGCTGAAGCTCCACGCATGTCTCCTTTGATCTGCTCTCAAAGGTTGGGCTATTACTGGTAGGACTTTTATTTGCCTAAATCTTATCCACAGATGTGTGCCTGGCAGTGCTACATGCAGCCCCAAATGGGGATATATTTGGAATGCAAAAGAGAAGCACCTGCATCTTGTTTCAAGGCAGCACAGGCTGCTTTTCCTGTCCTTGTCTTCACTATGGGTCGTTAACTGTCCACCTGATATCCCAACTGCTGATATTTATTTAGCTCAGTAAATGAAAGCAAACACAGCCTCAAACCTGCAATGCAGGAAACAAGATTTACTGTATTCTGGTCCATTCCATGGCACCTTCACCTCAGAGAGGCTGGAAAATATAAGCCTCACAAAGTGAGGAACCTGAGCAAATATCCCAGTGGATCATGAAGGCTACAATCTCCTCTCATCCCTAAATGGTGGTCTTGTGCTTCCTCTTCTCTCCTGGGAGCTTGGATAACCACTGTGCAAACAGCTCTTGGCTTGGGAAGGAGTAAAAAGATATGGTTCTCTCCAGAACCTTTCATCAGTACTAGGTATTTAGAAGGAAATTCAAAATAGTAGCTCAGTGCTGATTTGCCTTTCTAAATCATGTGTGCATCCAGGAAGTGGGGTGAGGTCCTAGAGCATGAGTTAGAGCTACAAAATACTGCAGAGTTTCTCACATCACGTTTGTCCTGCCTAGAGATGGGTACAAGTGTGCCTACGGTTTCGTGCTGGTGCCCCCGACAGAATATCTAGACATCTCCTCTCCTTACTTAGAAAGCTAAGTTTTGTCCTGAGCTTCTGAAAGCCAAAACATGAGAGGTACAGCCAGTTGGGAAATGAGGGGAAAGATGGCTCTTAGCTTTTCCACCACCCTGAGGGATTCTAGAGTGGAAATAATTCTTGTGCAGGAGCTGGGGCAACTCTGCTTTTGACTGCAGACCCTCAGTTGCCTGCGGCATTCAGCTCTGTAAGGAATGCTGCTGTTACTGATGTTTTTGGGAACTAAGAAGCCATCGAGCTTAAATTACATTGGCTCTGTGCTGCTCCAGCAACAGGAGGCTTTTCCCCTAGTTTCTGTAGCTGTGGTGTAGCTCTAACGCTCTACTACAGCAGGAGCTGGAGTGGGAACTTGCTGGCCCCTTACTTAATCCATGGAAATACCTTCTGGCATCTTTCTTGTGTAGACTGAAGTCTGTGATGAACTGTGCTGACATTTAAAAAAAAAAAAAAACACAACATCAGGAGTCATGCAGTTTGCTGCTGCTCCAAGAGCAAAATCATTTCCCTGAAGATATTACTGCTGTGCGTTCCCTCTGTGCTCATTAAGTGGAGGTAAGATTAAGCTGGATTGAATGACAAATGATTAGGTCTGGATCTTAGTCCGACTGCATTCAGTGTCACATTAAATCAGAAAGTAATATGTACATCCTGTCTGTCAGTTGTCTATTCTGTCTTTTTTCTTTAATAACATGCCCTTAGTTTCAAATTCCTGCACAACATTTTTCCTCACTGGTCTGCTGAGTAGGCAAGATTGCCTACTGATGCACAAAAGAAGAGAGGCTTAGGAGCAACTTCAAATCTGCATGGAGAAATGCATGAAATGGATGCCATCCTGGCCCAGGATTTTGCTTTGGCCAATGGTGGTCTCACCCACCACTGAAAACTGCCTCTTCTTCGTAAAGTGATCTTTTAACACCCTGAGAAAACAGGCTTAGTGAATTCTTCCTCTGGAGAAGAGCTGCAGGTCAGTCCACATGGGCAACCACTGTCCAAAGGACGGTTGTGGGTACTGGCCTTGCTGCCCAGCTCAGGTTGTTGTGAAGGGCATTGAGAGTTATGCTGTTGCCTGGTCTTGGGAAGTAGTCTGTTCTTCAAACAGGGAAGTGATGGAGCCTGACAAGTGCTGGAAAATCATCTGTCTACAGCTTAGGCAGCAGTCGAGTTCAAGTTCTGGCCTCCTTTGTTGCTGCTGAGGGACCTCCCTCTCGTCATGGTACAGTGACCTTTGTAAGGTCAAATGGCACAAAAGAGTTTCACCTAGGGTCAGTTTGCCCCAAAGTCCATTTTAGGCGCTCATTGAACTTAGGGAAGAGAGGGAAAATCCAGAAAAACATCTGCACAGAAAAATCTTGTGTGGCTTTGGAGATTGCTAAATGTTTCCTCCCACCAGCTTCTGGATGGTGAGATACAGATGTACTGATTACAAATGATGTCCTTTTAAGAGCTGGTCAGTATATTATAGATTGGGATAGCTGGGCAAGAATTTTGTTACTTTGTGGGGTATTCAGCTAAAATGTTGAGGTGAAACAACCCCACTCCAAAGACAGAAAAGTATGGAAAAGCCCTGGATTTTTACAGCTCTGCAACTGCGTGATTTGTGTTCCTTGAGGTATATGAAGAATTTACTATTTGAGGACCACTGGTTTGCAATGCTTGCTCTTTTTTACACTTTTTTTTTTAGATCATCTCTGGTATTTTGGGAAAAGCAAGACAAAAGTTTATCCATAAAGTAGGTCACAAATTACTTACATGAAACAAGTTTTCTGGGTATCATAGATCTCTGAGCATGACAGGGAGGGGTGCTCCTGAGAACTATCGTGTTAAAACTATTTCTGTCCTGAGTTCACAGTTTGCTCATCCAGGGACCTAACAAGTATTTCTAGCCACAGGAGTCTGTATCCAAAAAAGGGAGTGGTGGAAGAGGGGAAAGAGGCTGCACATTTTAACTTAGCACATGCTGAGTACCTTCCATTTAACTGTCAGCAACTGCTCTTGCCACCGCTTAGCTTTTGTGGACGCCAGATGTTACACCATCCTTCGACTATTGAATTCCTTTCTGAGTTCAGCAGATTTCTCTTTGCATTTTGAAACCCAACACTATCAACACACACCTGACTGCGGGGGAAGCTTATTAACTTGAGCTGCTTTTGATGAACCTCTGAGCGCAAAGCAAAAATGGGTCTGTTTTGATCATCAGAGAGAACGGTCACCCAAGGGAAAAGACAGAGAGCCCATGGCTTGAGTAATTTTAGAAAACAAATTCAACAAAACATAGGAGAGCTTATTTATGGGGTGGTTGGAACTACTCACTGGCTAGAGGCTGGAAGAAGTTCCCTTAAGTCTTTCAATTTGTGTGACCTGTGTAACTGTCACTCATAACACAGTCGTAACGAGGTTAAGTTATGTGGATTTTACTGAGGAAACTTCATTTACAGAACTGTGTGGATTTTCCCTAATCGCAGGCCTTCAGCAGG